AGCCGGAGAACACTTCTGCTATAGGTTATGAAGCAGCACGAGGTTATGAGGTGGCGTGATTGTGGTGGATAGTACAGGATAAGGTAACCAAGAATGTATTATCTAAATACCTAATAAAATCCGCTTTCTCGCGATATTGCGAAGGTAAAAAAAAAAAAAAAAAAAAAAAAAAAGATACATATAATAGTAGTAAAAACATTAAAATCAGCCTGATAGTTCTTGAGAAATCTTCAAAAAATGGTTCATTAACATATAAAATTTCTTTAAAAAAATTTAAACTTTTTTAAAAAAATTTTAAAAAAATTTAAATTTTTTTAAAAAAATTTTATATATCAGCAAAACATTGTTTAAAAATTTCTCAAAAACTACCAAGCCAATTTTAATATTCTTATCACTATTAGATATATCTACAACTTTTATTTAATTTTTTATAGTCAAGATTAGTCTCTTTGGCTTTTCACTTTTATTAAATTGTAGAATCATATAGTTTTTTTAAGAGCCCAGACAAGTATATTCTAATGAGATATATTCTAGCCATATTTGTACCTTTTGAGTATTTAATTTAAGTAATCTGCATATTACTAGGTTCTATACTAGATATCATATCTATAACCTATCTATTATTTGGTTTATTTAATTAAACTTTCTGATCTAAGTTTCCTATATCAATTCATCTAATCTTATACAAAATATGCAATATATTAGTTAGTCCAAATTCCAAAATCATTGTGAGCTACCTATAGGACTACTGATATAATTAACTGAATTATTTTCGAGTATATCACCTGCTAGAGCAGTTCAGTACTCACTATTACTATATTATCTAGTTTATTTTAGTAACTTATACCAAGTATGAGAACAAGTATTTGCAAGCTAAAGCTACTACTATTACCTTCTCAGCCTTTATAGAGTTTACTCAAACTTTGGCACTTTTTCTTCAAGACAACCTGATACCTTCCCTTTTATTATCCTCTAGCCAGTCTTCCCAAACTACCAATTCAAATGGTCTAGAAAGGACACTGGTTCTGTGGTATTTACTGATTCTTTTTTTTTGGTCAATACTTAAGCCAGTAGTCTAGTTAGTGAAACAACTTGCCAGGTGCTCTTGCTGTATTTAGTTATCTAGCTTCAGGTGAAGCCTATTCTAGTAGCCATTATTGAAAATTTGTGCTACTTTTCTACTCAGATTTTAAAAAGCAAGTGTTTATTTTTCCAGTTTCTTAGATTAATATGATCATAAGAACTAATCTTAGGTTTGCACTGTTCAATATTAGCTTGTATATATTTGTATAACTTACTGTATATATTATACAAATATTTATAATCTCCTAATCTTGTTAGTATCATCAAAGTTGCAAAGATTTTATTCTAACTAATTGTTAAAAAACAGTAGCCATTATACAAACAAAATATTCAAAATTTCAGTATTAATAAGTTTTGAACTCCTATTTATTAATATGCCGCTTGGAGGTGTGATAACTTAACTACTTTATTAATGTTATGGTGATATACAATATATAGTAAACATGTATAGAAATAAGATAATAAGCAATTGATCGATAAATGACTTGTATACGTGATATATATGATCGATCAGAATCATAAGGTCATTGAAATAATCAATTATATACGATTGGTAATTTTATAAATGCCAGGATAAAGTACTATGATAATTTTAAGGAATCATTAATAAGATCAATTACAATAATATAAGAGTCAAATGATCATATGATCATATAAGCAAAGTATGATATAAGTTAGAGGCCTGCACGGGCCAGGCCGAAATTTGAAAATTTTAAAAACCTCTCAAAATTGCGGGCCTGGTATATCAAAAACATAGTAAATTGTGGGCCGAACTTTTAAAAAACATAGTAAATTTTATTTTGCGGGCCATGCGGGCCGGCAAAAGTACAAATTTCTAGGCCTATGCAGGTCTTTAATATAAGTAATATGATCTGAAGTATATATAAGTAAAGCGAATGTAATAGTAGTAAAGGAGTTGGTTAGTTTTTAGTTAGTCTTGCTCTTGTAATAAAATAACTCTTAATAAATAAATAAAGTAATAGTAATTACTACTTGTTTGCCTTATTAAGTTCAGTTCGCTTAGTATCTAATTATTGATGCCCTATTATCTGGGTTAGGTTATTCTTTAACAAAGTTATTGATTAATCTGTGACATGAGGACCTGAGCAGATTACCAGCCTATCTTGCAACGAATTAGTATTGACAATCCACAAGATGAATCTGATGTTGTTTTATATAACTGTGGAGGATGAGAAAGGTATAAGTATTAAAAATATGAACAAAAGTGATGGGTTGACAGAACAAAAGATAGAAATAGGTGGAGATGTAAGTGTGATGATTAGCAAAAATGTTAGTAACAATGAAAACAAAGCATTTAACAAGGATCTAAATTGTAGTATAAGTTTAATCGAAATATTTTAGAAAAATATCAGGAGTAGTGATTCTAATCAAGCTGGATTAGAGAAAAAAAGTGCTGAAGAAAACAATATTAAAAGTAATAAAGCAATTGGTGAGAAAAATGATCATAAGTTGGATAACTTGGAAGTGGAAGTTGACCAATTATTGTTAGTTATGAGGAACAGCAATAGTGAATTTGTAGATGTCTGGTGTAGTAATAGGACATATAATATCAGTTATTGTGATCAAGAAGAATTGACTGGCGATGAAATTGGAGTCAATAAAGAGATTAGTTTGATTGATTTTAATGAATCTGATCAGATAGATGAAAGAAAACCTAAAAGCATATTTGATGTATTTATTAAAAAAGATTTAATTAATTTTGGGTGTGTTGCAGAGAAGTAGATGATGAATGATAATGTGAAGGAGAAAATGATTAATGAAAATAAAAAAATAAATGTGGTGGTTAATACAAGTAGTAGTAAGATGAATTAAATGAACAATAAAAAATTTAAATCCCTATCTGAGCCAAGTAGTGAAGTGATCTTATATATTAAATTCGCTAAAACAAAGTTTAAAATAGATGTAGTTTTAGAAGAAGAGAAGATAGTGGAAGATCTGTTGAAAGTATTGAGGGATAATGACTCTAATGAATTTGATTGTGGTATGGATTTGTCTAAATAGTATTGGCATACAAACTTTAAAGATCTTGATAAGGGACATGACAAAAATCAGGTGATTTTTTAGAGTGAAAGGGAGTAAAAATTTTAAAATTATATATAAGAACCTGATCAAATTATATATTAAGAGGGGAGAAGGAGAATAAGCTTCTGATAAAAAAAAATCAGGTGATAAATGACACTGCTCTAATAAAATTATTGGATGATACTAGGAGCCCACTGCAAATAGTGATCCAAATATACAACTTGACATTAAAAGTGGTGATTGAATAATGAAGTATATTTGATCGAAGAAAAGGATTGTTAGTAAAAAGTAACTGTAATAGTAGGTTTGGTGATATTGATGATGTCTTTAGAAAAAGTATACAAAAGGAGTTAGAAGAAACTTTAAGATGAAGTTTTAGTGAATCTAGCTTATATCATGGTGATATACAATATGTAGTAAATATATATTGAAATAAGGTAATAAGCAATTGATTAATAAATGACTTGTGCATGTAATACACATGATCGATCAGAATTATAAGATCATCAAAATGATTAATTATATATGATCAGTAATTTAATAAGTATCAGAGTAAGGTACTATAATAATTTTAAGAAATTATTAATAAGATCAATTACAATAATATAAGAGTTAAATGATCGTATGATCGTATAAGCAAAGTATGATGTAAGTAATATAATCTGAAGCAGTGATGATAAATGACCTGAAATGATCCAAATGACCCAAATGACTAATGACTGGTCATGAGTCATTTCAAAAGCCAAATGATCTTAGAAGGTCATTTAACATTTGTTAATTGATAATCTAACACCTTTTAGCCAATCAAACTTAATTATTATACAAAAAGTAATTTTTATAAAATATAATTAACAATCGTAGCTACATATAAAAGTCAAAATTCTACTAAGTCTTAAGTAAAGTTGTTTGGAAGAACAAAATGCATATGTCTTAAAATTTTTATATAATTTGATTAACTTTTTATTATGCTATTTTTGTATTTTACCTTTATATGAAAAAATTTTAAATTTTTTTGTATAAACGTAAAAGGCCAAAATAGCATAGTAAAAAGTTAATCAAATTATATAAAAATTTTGAGATATATGCATTTTATTCTTCCAAACAACTTTACTTAAGCCATAAATATCGATTAACTTAGTAGAATTTGGACTTTTATATGTAGCTACGATCATAAATTAGTGAAATTACAGTGTTTAATAACTTTTTATATTAGCTATCTGGCCAATAAAATTACTTTATATGCAAATGACCCAAATGACCCAAATGACCAAATGACCTGGGTCATTTATCTAAATGACTTGGTCATTTAAATTTTGGGCAAATGACCAGGTCATTTACCATCCCTGATGCTGCCTGACACTATGATCTTCTATACGGCCTCGATCGATCATATGATCACATGAGTTGTTCGAACCATATTCCCGTCGCACTTTTTCACTTATCGATTTATAGTACATTTCGCTATCGATCTGCATCCCTTTTACTAAATACAAAGGCTCTTCGAAAACTATGCGACACTAGGGGATTATCTATTTAAATTCTCTATATTGCAACCTACTTGTATCATCAGTATAACTCTGTTATATTTGTCAATCAAAAAGTTCCGGGTGCTTTCTCTATTCCTTTAAGACTAATTTATCCTCAAAGCATTGTTGCTTTACTTACGATCTGGCTAATCTAGACTTCGGTAACTTATACTGAGTCTGAGAACAAGTATTTACAAGCCAAAGCTACTACTATTACCTATTTCTGCCCTTGTAGAATTTACTTAAACCTCAGCATCTACTATATAGACTATTAACCATTCTTCTAATATTTCAAAACTCCTGATCCAAATAGCCCAGAAGAGCAGACTTTTTTTTTTGATATATACTAGTAGCCGAACGGGTAAAATTACCATCCAAAAAAGTTTCAAAATTATGTGATATTGTCAATTCATCATGATTAAAGATCATGATAATAATAAATTTAGTATTAATAAAATATTAATTGATTTAATAAGTGACGTTTTTTCTTCGATTCTTCAAAATGAAAAGCAATTGTATATTAATTGATTTAATAAGTGACGTTTTTTCTTCGATTCTTCAAAATGAAAAGCAATCGTTACAATCTCGATAAACCAAGTGATACTTTAAAAGCATAAAATCCAATAAACACAATATTCTAAAAATATATTTGATTGCCGTAACCAAATTTTCATAATAATTGAAAAAAGAACGGAAGTCGAAATAATTATAAAAGCTAATCAAGAAATTCAATTGCACCAGAACCTTGTAGATTTTATTTTTAATGCTCTTCCGGAAGACTATAATTCTGTTTATTTATTTGAGCAAAAAATTTTTATAAATTTGAATCCGGGATGCAACAAAAAAAATATTGAAGAAAACATAATGAACCTAAATAGTAATGAATGGCTCGATAGTATCAATAAAAACTTCGAGCCATTACATAAATTGGAAGAGAATTATAATAATACAATGGAATCTTCCAAATACTTAGAAAAACCGTAATCATAATACTTTCTAGCTGTAATAAATATTACGTTTACTGAATTTATTCGGAATAAATAAAATGATTAATTTATTGCTTATCGTTATTATTTTGTTATTTGTTTGTATTTTTGTTCAAGTTACATGGATTTTTGCTCGATATACTTTACACGTGACGTTCGAAACTTTTTTGGGTGGCGATTTTACCCCGGTCGTTAAACCACTTGAATTCGAGGTCAAATTTGTCGGAATTCAGAAATTGAATTCAGATAAATTTGGCATCACTCGAATCGTTCAATAATTCGGTTCAAATAAACCAGATTCAATCATCATCTAACCTAAAAAAAATTTAAAAGGGGATATATTTATGATAGAATACGGTATATAGATTTTCATAAAGTCATTTCGACTTCACTTAAAAAAATTGTTTATTGAAACATAAATAAAAGTATTAACACTAATATTTTATAGTTATTTACTAATTACAAACAGTTATCGTCAAGTTCTTGTTGTACGAATGTAGGATATTTTGATAAAACTTTTTCCCAGGTGATATCTTCTTCAACCAAATATTTAAGAACTTGAAGTATGGTGTCAATCTAAAAGAAAAGTCAATCATATTTAGAGATAAATTTTTATGAGACCATCAATAGTTCCTCATGATAAAATGATGTTACCTCTTCTCTGATCTGTTTAGTGGAATCCCTCTCTCGCAATGTTACAGTGCCATCATTCACAGATTGAAAATCAATGGTGATCGCAAATGGTGTACCGAGCTCATCGTTACGAGAATAACGACGTCCAATCGAATTGGAAGAGTCATCTACCTTAATGGCAATATGAAGCTTACGAAGTTTAGAAGCTTTGGGAATTTGTAGCATGCATTATTGTGAATGAATAAGAAAACCAATCAATTATCATACTGAATGATTATTATCATATGAAAATATAATATATTAGTAGTACTCACAAAGATCGCGTACGAGTTTAGAAAACGCAGGATTATTACTTAAAGGCACTAGTAAACATTTGAAAGGTGCAACGCGTGGAGGGAACGATAAAACCTATTAAAACATAATCAACAGTTAATACTGAACTCATTAGATTTTGAAGTTAAAAATGCAGTAACATACCGCCCTTTGCTCATCACCTTCTCGTGTCCAATATACATGTTCAATCAATGAATACAAGATTCGACCAATACCAAAAGATGGTTCTATAACATTTGGAATATATTCTCTGACTTTATACACCAATTCAAAAAAAAAGTAGAAATAGCATTACAATAAGCAATAAATCAAAAAAAAAAGATAAGTAAATATAATAGTAAATTCCCATACCGTGTTCTGTGATTGTCTGTCTTTGAATAGTAATAAAATCACTCGATATTTCATATTGATTACCATCAGCACAGGAGACCATGGTTTTACTAAATCATACCAAAGAAACTATTAACTATTAAATCATTAAATTATGATCATGTATGTATAGAATTTACCGAATTTACCCATTTCCATGCTCTAATTCCTTTTTCAAAGCTTCTAATTGTTCTTCATTCAAGTTATTTAAATACTCTTCCACCGTTTTTGCATTTTGTCTCAGCTTAGGACCAAAGATTTTCTTGTTGATTTCCAGGACAGTTTTTTCATAGACCAATGGCTCAGCTAAGGTCTCACGCACGATAAGCTTTTCTTTTGTACGGTTTGTATGAACGGTCAAATCATATGCAGACCGATCAGCACAACCGACACATTCTATCCATCCCTAATGAAAGTTGTTAAAAAAAAAAATTACAAAGAGAAATTTATAATATAGACATTAATGAAGAGATAACACACATAGCTACTTTGAATTTCTGCATCCCAACAGTCACAAGCATAATGTGCCATCTCATTAGGCATATGTTGACGAAAGCGAAGTCTCTCGGATTTAATACCAAGCATAGTTAAAAATAGATGTGTACGAGCAAGGAAATAACCCAGAGTTTCATTGTCTACAATTTTCTGTGTTGTCAATACAATGTAAATTTACGAGTTAATCAAGGATAAATTATTGAATCTGGTTGAGAATCGAGTTGAGAATTACTTTTTCGACAGCTTCACCAATAGTCAATTCGATAGGTATTGTTTTACCTTCACTTTGTATATGTCGTGGCAACAAGGAAAGTTTAACGTCTTTTACTTCATCAAAACGGATATGTTTCTTGTTATTAGGATCTACGTAATGCTCAATTTCAGACATTGTAAATTCTCTAAATAATTAAGCATACTCGTCAAAAATAAATAAATAAATAAAATAAGCAATAATTGAGATAATTCTCACCTGACTCGGAGAAGACCCGATCTTGGACTAATTTCGTTCCTAAAAGAACGACCGATAGAAGCGGATGCGAATGGCATTTTATCATTATTAAATTCAAGAAATTTTTTAAAGTTGAGAAATTGGCCTTGTGCGGTTTCCGGTCGAAGGTAGCTAAAATACCGAAAATGATAAATGAATTTAATATCATTACAATTTAATAAGCATATGAAAGCAAATCAAGAGAGATTTAAATTACCCTTTCAAGTGTCCAGTGGGCCCAATGCTACTCTCAAACATTAAATTAAATTCAACAGGTTCGGTTAGATCATTACCCGTCTCGGGACTTTTGATATTATGTTTACGTATAAGTTCTCCAAGTTCCGTACCAGTATAATTATCAATCTATTTTGTTAATATATTAATAGTACAAATAGTATCATTAGTTAATGTCGATGTTAAATAAATATACAGCTGACTCTCTCTAAGTGCAGAACTTAATAAAGTTTTTTTAATTCGCAGGCTATATTTGGACAAAGTTATTATAAAACTCTAATGCAGATTCTTTTAAATGCAGGAATTCGATTTATTTTTTTTAGTAGTAATTTTTTCTAGGCCAGCGGAGTTGCATTTAGAGAGAATCGATTGTATTTGTAATTTTTTGTGAAATTAAAATTGCCTTTGCTAAAATCTCTTCATATTCCATTTTAGTAGCATCATCTAATTTTACAGCTTGAACTGCACCCTTTTTCTTCTTTTTATCTTTTTGCGATGTTGCATTATTTTCATTATTTTCAGCCTGTTTATCGCCATCTAGCCTTCCTTCTAGAACAGCTTCAACTAAATGATCCGCGCGAAAAATGTCACCAGTTTTTGTATCTTTAACCATCCAGTCACTAAATTTATCCACATGACCAGATGTTTTTAGAACATCTGCGGGAGTAATAATTGCACCATCCATTTCAAGCATTTCTTCCTCTAGTACGAAATATTTACGCCATAAATCGATGATATTAGCCTGAAGAGCACAGCCGGGAGGGCCATAATCATAAAGTCCCGCAACACCTTTTTGAATTCAAAATTTTAATTTGAGGTTGCAAATGATATCATTATATATATACAAATATATATATATATATTTTTTTTTTAATATAACATCAAACTCTTAAACTTTGTCTCTTGAAACACATTTCTTCATTTAAAAATTTTTTTTTCTTGTTAAAAAAAAAAAAACTTACCACCGTATGCTTGAAAGGAAGGCGCGTAGAAAAAGCGCTTTTTCAATAATTCTTCTAAAGAGGAACGGTTAAACGCGGTCATACTTGAACAAAAGTTAAGCCTGGGAACTATTTCGTTAAAATTTGGATAACGTTTCTTTTCTCTTTGAATAAGAAACTTGTAAAAATTCCTTTGTGAATTAAATGGATAGAAAAGACCTATTCTTAATCTGTTCAATATCATAAGATTCATATATTTCGGATAATATGCCGGCAGCATATGAAGTTATGAGTCATAACGACAACGTATAAGTTTTTTTTTGATGAATTGAATACGTGTAATTGCTTAGTAACGGTAAATTCGATATTTAGTAAATTCAAGATTGTTATACGTGGCTGTTATAAAAAACGAGTTGTTTCAATAACCCTATAAAACAATCCGTGATCCAAAAATTACGAGAACTTGTAGAGGCATCTTCAAATTCCAGATGTAGTGAAAAAGATATTCTGGAGTTAAGTCAGCTGGCATTAACAAAGTGATGTAGGCCGGTTGATTTCAAACCTTTAATTCTGGCCGAACTCAATTCCGACCTGATGATACACGGTCACGTGAAATATAATATAAACAAATATAAAAACGGACGCGTTTGTAGAGGAAAAAAAAAACTCTCGTTATATCAATAACATAGAGTCTGTCTTTAAAGAATGAATGACATGGCGTCTCATCAAACTACTCAAACTACTGTTTATACCAAGGACAACGAAGTTTATTCAACCAACATTTGTCAAGAAGTGTCTAACAAAGAACGTCAGAATGTAATGGAAATTCAAGAAATGCATGTTCAAAAACCTAAAACGACTCATAATTTTTTTCGGAATAAGTCTTTTAAGTAAGTTGACAAAAGAGTATTAAAATCATGTTTAATGAAATTTATTTATTAAACATTGTTATATTTATGAAACAACTAGTTTTAGTTCTCCTACAGACAACATTTTATCCCCCTGCACCAAAATGCTACGGGCAAAGAAAGCGAAAAACTACGAATGGTAAGCCTCTTTAAATTGACTATTAATTTAAACGAATTTTAATGAATTTTGACGCGTTTTTTTTTTTACAACAACGACTCCTAACATTTTTCTTCGCTTGTAATAGTGGCAAACCTGTATTCCTCAGTGGAATTTTCGCCAAAGCGTTGGAAGAAGAGAAAATGAAAAAGTAGATTTTAGAACCTGGTTATAGTAAACTGGGTCACCGTGTCAAAACGGTTCCAGATCAAAAGTTTACAACTCGGGTCAAAACGGTTGATTATGTAACCTCTAAAAATCTATTATTATTACACAGAAAACATAAAATTTAACTCATTATTATTGTACTGTGAATAAACACACTTTTTTTCTTACTAATCTCGCAAAAAAAAAAAAGTTACGAACTTTTGGAGGTTACTATATGAATTATCTATTGTTGCGAAAATTTTGGCAAAAATTTTCCTTTGTATAAACCTTTATTATTATTTACTTTGCTTGGCTAATATATAATACACGTCACTTGATATAATGGATTCTCGATATAACAGAGACTAAGTGAAATCTTGATATAGTGGATCAAGGTTTTTGATATAATGGATTTACTACTGTAATAGACTCACAATATTGCGGATTATAGTTCTTTCTAATTGCCCAAGCAATACATTATATTAAGAGTGAGAAGAGATGAATTTTAACAGTAAAAAGAGATATGTCATATGTAATAATTAAATAGTAATTCGGGTTTTTTAATTTTTGCCCAATTTCAAAAATGCCGTTCGATAGTACCAACGCCCCTAGCTCTCCCACATTGTTCACCTCTCGAATTTCAGGATCAGGTGTAACGTAAAAATCGAAACGAAACAAAAAAACAAGAATAACTCTAAATTTTAATTAGGAAACCACTTTCTGCGGCCTAATTAAAAATGTTCCTCGTGATGTTTTACTAATAAGCGTTATATTATTTTAATTCTAACCCTAAGTATAACACGGTTTTCTTGGTTTTCATTTTACGCGTAACTTTTTACTTAGAAAACAAAAATTTGTTTTTGACACCTGATCTTAAATTTTGATTGGTCAAAATTACAATTTTTTGTGGGAACGCTAACAGGGGGGAACAGACCTGATCTAAACTGTGTGGGATTATATTTGTAGCATTGGAGGTTAACTGGCCCATTATTGTGAAATGATTTTTTTATGTTCTGCATACCAGGTGTGAGATCAGGTACGTTTCCTCCTGTTGGGAAGCACATGTTTGACTTTAGAAAAATACTAACTTAATACGTAGTACATACACTGAATACTTGTACGTTTCCTTGTGGTGCTTATTAGGTGGAGTACCTAAACAAAACGCTAGTAAAAGTCGAATTGCACGCGTAGGTTAGAAAACTTTCGTGTTCCAAATCGACCGCATATCCCAATACTGGATAAATTAACAACCTTATTCGATACTATTGTTCGACGATAACGATATAAAACCCGCAACGAGTACAACGAAGAGAGAATACACTAACCGCACCATCATCCCTGAGTTTATGGTGTCGAGTCATAAAGTCTCACACAGGTCACAGCACTATTTACAGGTTTGTATTTATACTATTGTATTATTTTTTTTCATGCTTATTGTCCGGATCTCAGATTCGAACTGAATCAGTTTTATCAGTTTTTTATTTTCGGTAATATTCACCCTCAAAAATTTGAAAAAACTAGTTACGATTATTCAAACCAGTTCATCCGATTTCAGATTATACGGAACTTTATGAAAAAGGCTCAAGAATAGGATGAGCCAGTCTTCGAAAAGACCGGTACTATGCTATGCCTACATACAACATTTAGCAAGAAAAGATACCAATTCCCCTATCCCGGGTATAACACCACCAACATCTCCATTAATATTATATAATGAAGTTTCTGATAATACTACTTCAAACAAGACTTTCTCAATCTTTAATTCAGATTAAGGTCCTGAAACCCAAATTTCAAATTGCTTTTTTTTAAAATTGAACCAGAAGTTAGAAAATGAATAATAAAAAAAATATTGTTTATATAAAAATGAAAATTAAAATCAAATAACCTTTATATCTTTTTTCAATAATGAGCGGCGACAAAGATTTCCTACGTTCATTTTTCCCAATGCTGAAGCACATGATAATATTAGCATAAATTAGGAACCTCGATTTAAAAATATTAACTCTACAAAATCAACATATGGAATCTTTGCTAGGAAATGACCCTCTGAGGCTATATTGATTTGTAAATAAAAATTAAATTCACCAATCTTCCAGTTATCCAATTTGAATAAATTTTTTTTTTATTTTGTATAATCTATGATTTACAAAATCAAAAAAAAAGTTTATTCAATTGGATAACTAGATGGCTGGTAATTTAATTGTTATTCACAAAATCAACATAGCCTCGGAGGGGCAAAGATCCCATATACTCTTTTGTTATCAAAACTATCCCTAAATCCTAATTCGCGTATCTACTGATTAAAAGCAACAATTCTGCCGAAAATCTAGTGGTGGATATTAAATCTTATTATTACCGTTATACTCAAATATACGCAACCTCTTTGCTTTAGCCTGAAAATTACAAAAATCAATGGCTTTTTGCCCTGACCACCTTGTTTATAATGAATGTGAAACTATGTATTTGAATTTACGTGGAAAAATTGTACCTACACGAGGACCAACTGTTTTTGTTAATGGGTAAATAGGCAATATAGATGGAGCAATATACTCTCTGGAGTCACTCCGAAGTCACGCCAGGATGAATCCAACTCAATTGGAGTGGATTTAAAAATGTCTATAAATTTGGAACAATCTGAAGGAACTTTGAGTAGAATCTGGAACAAGCCTAGATTAATATGATAGAGTTAGTTGAAGACTAGATCAACCCAACTTAACCCGGTCCAACCCATTATCAACCCTAGTAGTATGAATAAGTGCAAGATAAAACTGTTCTTGGATAGGTAATTTGCGATCTAGAATCATTCAACACTGTACAGAGCGAAAAATGACGGCGAATGATCTCTAAATTCAATTCGAGATTTAACTTTTAGTAGATATGTTTGCTATCGCTATCATAAAAAAAGGGTAACATATATTTTTTGTGTTGACATAATTCTAATATTGACATGTAACGCTTTACTCAATATATTGCTAGTTCTTTACGAATTTAACTCGGCTACGAAAAGGTTGAAGATTCGAAATAACGTCCAGGATGATTTTCAATAAGTAACAATTATTGCTCCATTCAGTTAAATTAATTCTTAGCTCTTTAAATCCCTGGGCGTTATTTCGAGATGATACGCGATAACGATTGATAATCTCTCTTCGATGGTCTCGTGATACATTAATAATTTCAGAGCTAGAAAGGCTTTAATAATTTATTACAAATTATTGTTCTTTGCGTATGTACTAAATCTATCAGCTATTAATTATCCGATGCTTTGACTGGACTAATTAATACTATTAAATTGGTCTCAATGGGACCAAAAACTGGCCAAGACGAACTGATCCATATTCATTAAAAAAATTTTTAATTCTTTTGTTGATTGAGTCTTTCTCTTTTATTAATTTTCATATTAAAATATATTCGTATATATCTCGGAAATGGTGACATCATTTAAAGTTATAATAGAACAGGATGAAACCCGCGTCAAATCCTAGTTAGCATAATGTTTTTGATATATTAACGCGGATTTCATCCTTATGCTATCTGAATAATGCGTTTAACCAACGGGTTTCACCCTATCGTGTTATAATTAAGGATGTGCGTCAATGTAACGACCAACCTAAAAAAATTTTGCTACTAGGTTATAGATACACTTTCACTATTAGATTAATATCCAAAGCATAGTACTACCAAAATTTTGCAAGCAAAACTTTTTGTTAGTGCGCAGAAGATGGTTACATATGCAAATTTTGAGTTACAACCGGTTTTTGAATTATTTTGATTTTTCGCGTTTTTTTTTCGCGTCGCACCTAATCCTGAAATTTGATTGGTCAGTGAGATAAATATTCTCAATGTTCTCCGAGAACATAAAAATCTTACACTTATGTGAAATATAAAAAATTTCCAAACTTATTATAGATGTTCTTGTGAGAACACGAAATTAAATTCGAATTTCGCATACTGATGTTAATGTTAGGATGATTGAATATTCTGATAGATTGGCCGGCATTAACTATAATTCCGAGTCAATCATGTCGGAATTAGATTCAAGTTTTTTTTTTTTTTTAACGTTAAACGAATTTAGCAGTATTGGCCATTATAGGTCAAACGTATCCAACTTTTCTCGAAATAGCGGGCATCTGCGCGTTATTTGAGTACGCCCATGGGCGTTATTTTGAATATATAGGTTGATTTTTTGAATCTTGTTTTTTAAATAATACTATAAATGAAATCTTACCTCTAATAGTACTGTAGTAGTAAATTTCGATTATTATTAGTTGGTACATAATATTTATGAGTAAAACAATTAGATCACAGGGTAGTTGAAAAAAAAATGCAAATAAAATATATACTGAGGTGCGCGTTATTTTGAAACGCGCATGGACGTTATTTCGAAACCACCTACGTACGTACGTTATTTTTAGAGGACGTGATTTTCGAAATAACGCCCATGCCGCTATTTCGAGAATTTACGGTATAACCAAGATGGTCATAATGCAATAGCGATAGTAAATTTATAACGATAGCTCATAAACAATAGGTCATAAGGTCAACCTATATTTAGCCAATAGGTCATAGATCCTTTCTAAAGACGTCCCACCCGGTCAAAGATCGATTATTTAATTGATCATTCATAATGATCTATTTTTAAGAATTCTGAACCATAAATTTCAATGACATTTCAATGGTAAAAAGTCTCGTGTTTTTAAAGTTATCATTCTTTTCTTTTTATTACACATTACAAATTATTATTATTAACATTATTATTATTTTTAATATTATTAAAGATAATTAACATCAAACTAAAAACCACCCCCACATCCCAATAAATATGTACATTAGAATAAAAAATTCTTTAATTCGTATATAAAAAAAAAAAAAAAAGCGTAATTCCGTATGTTTGAGTTGGTGATGAAATTGAGAGTGGTGCGTGAATTAAAAAAAAAATGCGTTAAATGCTAAATTTAAGTGTAATGAAATGAGGTTTAAAAGCTTACAGAGTTCCATGATTTAAAAAGAAAAAAATCTATATAATAATAATCTGTATAAAATCTATATTGCGTAACATTCTAAAATTGTTTGTGCTTGTTTGCTATTACCAAAAATTCTAGAACCTTTTTAAAGTGGCTTAATTTGTCTAATGAAATTAACGCACACTGTAGGGGAAAATTTTTTTTTATAATAATACATGAAAATAAATAGAAGAAAACGGAAGGTAGAATAATAAATCTAACTAGATGTGCCAGTAAAAAAACTAGCACTTATTAATAATAATTATTGTTCGGTTCTATATAATACTACAAAACGGTAGTCAATACCGTTACTCGCTGCTACCCACCGATATTTTAATAAGTTATAAATTGTTCGTTGTCTAAATTAATATATACAAACGACGTCACGAGAGACGTGTTTGGAAAAAAGGGTAAAATTACACCGTCTTACAAGACATGAAAGTAAGAAAATAGTATAAACTCCAAGTCTAGTTAGACGTAAAAAAAATGTGACATTTCGGGGGTAACACCTGCTACTAGAGCAAGGACAATTGTTCGATCTTGTAATTATTCTTGTGTAAAAAAAAGAGATATTCGTGCTGATTGTTCAAGAGATGTAAACCGTATCCCGCATAAAATGAATCCCAAAGATAAATTTTTACCATATAGTATTCAACATAGTTTAGTTATCTTAATCTACCATAAAGTCCAATATTTACGTTCTTGTTGAGTTACGAGAAGTTCGAGGACGTGATGCAGTACCAGAATTGAGTACAGAAGTTGAATCTGTGATCGACGTAGATGCTTGGACTTTCGGAGTAGACATGAGAGGCAATCTTTTACGGGGGAGTTCAACAACTATGAACGACAAAAAAATAAAGTTAAAAAAATTCATAAATTTTTTCTTTTTTTTAAGAAAAAAAATAATAAACAAAACCTACCTATTCGTTTTCTTCGCAAGTTTTCTTGGCAACCTTTTTCACAATACCAAGCTTCGGTACCTTTAACAGTTTCATCGTCAATGCAAGACGCATAGCATTTTTGATGAAATGCTTTAGGACAACCTTCACATCGAACAAGTACATTATTAACGAAAGAGTCTTGTTTCTGGCATATTGTGCAAACTAATTAAATAATATTTTAGTCAGAGATTGTTACTATTATATTAAACACCAAACATAATCATTAGTAAGTGACTAATACGTACAAAGTTGCAAGACTGGACGTTCACGCTCCTCAATGGTCTCATTAATAAAATCTTTCAAGTCCAATCGTGGAAGTTTGCATGCAAATCCGTAACCTTTATAATCACAACCATGTTTACTAGAAAATCAAATAAATTTTATAATTAGTAAATTTTTATTGCAAAAAAAAAAAAATTAAAATAAATAAATAAATGTATATTTAAGACATACTTGCACAAGGTTCGCTTTCCCCAAGGGCCAGGTCTCCAGTTGACACCCTCTGTAGTACCACAATATCTACACCAATCAATACCAGACTTGGTCAAAGTCTCAAAGACGGTAGGAGACTTTGTAGAACGAGGAGAGGTCAATTCAAGAACTTCTGATTCTTGAGGTTTCTCTATTGGCAACACAATGGTTGTTGGAACCGGACTATCCGCAACCGAAGCGGTAGGCGTAGAAGCCTTGCTAGATCTTTTTGAAGAACTAGATGATTTTTGTTGCTTTCTTCTACTAAATATAAAAATATAAAAATAAATAACACAATATCAATAACAATACATATAACACGAATTTATATATCGAATAATATATATAAGTTCTTTAAGGATAAACATTACCGTTTATTGGAATTGATATTCTTAGATTTGCTCTTTGATCTAGTAACTGATTTAAGCTTCACGCCTTTTACTAATGGAAGTGGTAATAATTTTGATTTGGACTTTGAATTCTTTCTACCATTGCGAGTCTTTTTATTGCTCATAGATGGGCGATATTCTTCGTCATCATCCTCGTCAGTATCGTCAGAATAAATAGTATCAGTACTGTCTTGATATTCGTCAGTGATGCCATCGCTAGTCTCATGAACCTCGCGAACTTCATCAACCATTATATCATCAGACATCAAATAATCATCATTACCTTGAGGATTGTCATTAGAAGATAAATCCTCATCGGTCTCATAATTTTTTTCGTCAACAATCAAAGAATCACGTTTTTTATTATTGACTTTAATAACTCTTTGAGCATCTACACGAAATTTTTTATCTGCCTGTTTCTCGGTAGATGTCGAGTCAGAAAAATCATCATCCGAAGATGAAGCATAAGACATTCTTCGTTTAAGACTATTGTCGCTTACTAACTCAGGAGTTTGAAGAGGAGGACTCGGTATATTATCACCAAATTCAATGTAATTTGGATTAATTATGACAGGAGTAGGTTTATTATTACGATTATTTGATTGAATGAAAGACGAAGAATCTGTGGCAGTGATGAACTTTGGATCGATGGTAACAGTTAAAGGGGTAGTGCTGCCACTTGCATGATTATTATCAACATCATAACCAATGGGGAAATTATTCGAAGTAGATGAAGAAATCAACGAAGGATTAATTGTATTCATAGAATTCAAAGAGATCGTTTCATCGGATGAGACAATTGAAGATTGCGACTGCGAGGCAGAAGACGAAACCATATCATGAACGGAAGACGATACTGGAGTTAAAGACGAAGATGAAGAAATAACAGTCTCCGAGGAAGAAGAGATATTAACAGGAGATTGAGGGACTTTTTCTTTTGGATCATCTAATTCATTCTCGTAAATAAGATTCCAGATTGAGCCATCATCATCCAATTCAATGGGAGAAAGATTAGGCGAATAATGAGGATTAGGAGTTAAAATGTCCGTATCAGAAGAAGCATCACTATCAAAATAAAGATGCTGATCTATGGTATCATTAATCATTGGATCAGAAAAGAAGACATCATTCACAACACCATTATTATGACCGTTAGACATTGAATGATCAATCTGATAATCAATTGATAAATCAGATTGAGAATCAGTTGAATGAGAGGTCATAGGGTATTGGTCTAAAGAAGTGGATCGTTGAGTTGGAACCACGAGTGGTAAAGATCGATTAATCTGATTTGACATTGAATGAGATCTAGTAGAAACTGACATGGGATGAGTCATGTTACCAGAGACAGCACGAATGGATTGCTGAATCAAAGTGGCAAAGGTAGGATTGGATTTGAAAGCCGAATACTTTTCCTTGCATTGTTTACAAATGGATTGTAAGAAATTCGTATCGGTGGCAACCGAAGTATTTCTAATATTACTAAGACATTCAGAACAAAATATAGAAGCTAAAGTCTCCATTTGTGAATGCCGTATCTGCTGATAATGATGCAGTGAATTACTGAAGGATATAGAATAGGGTTGAACTGGACCGAAATAACTTGTTTGATAATTTCCATATTCCATATTAAAGAAATGCATTGAAGACGTCAAATCCTTTGATGAGGGCACGTTATTTGACGTAATGTCATCATACTGTGTTGGAACAATTACTTGAGGTTGAAGAGCCTGTGAATACGTCCTGCTCTGAGTCGACTGCCGCGACATGGGTAAAATTTGACGTGGTTGTGATTGATGGTCATTGTAATTCGAGCTCTGCGAACTACGTTGAGTGGATGATTTCTTGACATTCGATGTGCTCGCCATCGTATATTATATCAAATTGATCGTAAAATTTTTATATAAATAATTAAGAAGTGTGTACACAGTCGAGTGTATTTATTTACTATGAAAAAAAAAAAAAAAAAAATTCGTGAAAGGTTATCGGTTAGTATTAAGCTGCACACGTTTTAACGTGGACGAATCGGTGACAAAGTTTTTATATCTATTCTATGCTGTTAATAATGTATTGTGGTAGAAATGGTTGTTCGAATGCTTCTAACTATCGCTGTTTATTTACTATCCTTGCTATGTGATATGTACTGGTCAACAGGAATATATATATATATATATAATAGAAAATAACTTAAGGGAAGTATTAAAAGTGTAAAATGCATATAATTTAAATGTCTTTATCGAACAATGAATTCTTGAATGTAAAAAAAAAAAAGTTGAGGCTGAAGAATTGAAGGATTGAGAATGATGAGACCTATTAATGACAAATGGGGCTGTGCGCAGTAAAATTAACAAGCCACTGCTGCGGATGGAATTGATAGGGGGAGGATGAACGATTTGTGATAATACAATTATAAAAATTGTTTGAAGGAAAAATAGGTGTATTATTGTTGAAGAGAAAGTAGGAACAATATCAAAATTATCTGAAAAATTGTAAAAAAAAAAAAAAATTTTTTGTTTTTGGCGTTGATATCCAACGGGGGATTATAGTTACATGTGGACAATATAAGTTGAACAAGGGGTGTATATATACATACATACATACATACATATATATATATATATATTTATATACTTATATATATATATATTTATATATTTATATTTATAATACGTATATATTATTATTCTTATATATTTTATTTAACTAAAGCATCAAATGCGAGAACTTTCTTTTAAAGAGCATCAGAAAGTTTGGCAAGAATTATGATGTTGAACGGAAGTGGGGACGAAAAGTTGAAGTAAAGAGCAAAGGGTGTGCAAGACATCATTGAAGGTGTGAGCGAACGCTGAGAATTAAAGTATACTTACGCTTTCTATTTTACTCCAAAGACAACAAGTGCCAAAGTCGGAGAAAGAATGTGTTGAAAAAAAAATTGGGAATTGAAATGATTTTATAAGAAAAAAATATATTGTTAGTTTAAAATATAAATGCGTCACACTTTTGTATCAATCTTATCTGAAACAAATTTTTAGTATAAATAAATAATTAAAGTATGTATATATATATATATATATATATATGGTCTTAAAATAAACTGTACACTTATTATATTCGATTGTTTAAACTGTATAAAATTACTAATATTTCTTTTTGGTAGTAATTATTAAGACGCCGATTCGGATTTTGGGCATGGTTTCACAAATTGTAGATTCGCCGGGCGGGCTATCGCAGAGCAACAAACCCAAATACTATAAATGCGTCTTAGTTTTTTTTTTTTGCAAAGTACACCTGTCATGTGTTTTTACTGATGTCGGCCGCTTCAATTTAAAATTAAAATTTGTTTGTCTCTAGCAATATTAAGATTAGTGTTTATATTAAAGCTTCGGCTATAAAAAAAATTATTTTTATTTTCTATTTTACGTAGAAAGATAATTACGTATTATACAGATATGTATAATGGCAAATTCAAACAGTTTGATTTTTTTAAACCATGCAGTTTATTATAATTATTTGTTTGTTATATATAGTTATTAAATAATTAAGATTTTATTTAAAATAGAAAGTTTTTATATAGTAAAAAATGCAAATCAAAAAAGTTCAAAATATTATTATATAAAATTTTTTAAACTATAATATAAAATATAAAAAATAATTATTACAAAAATTATAACAAATATTAAATTTTAGTAATTATTTTGATTAGAATTATAAAAATTTTTTGTTATTTATACAGTTTTGATATTATTATTTATTTAAATTATTGTTTTTTTTTTATGTATTGGCAGCCTCGCCGGTATCTTTATTAGATCAAAGCATATATATATACATATATTTAACCTATCTAAATTATAGATCCAACATCACTCAGCTTCCTCTATGGGTGCCCAAGTGCGGTTTGCTTCACTGGTTAAGGCTATTGCCCGTACCGGAGGGCTGCACCAAGCTAGCCGGTGAAACCATAGCAAGATGGTTTCAAT